TCCGTGACCAGGAGCAGAACTGAGCCAAGGTTGGGTTGGCGCCTCCACTGCGGGGCAGTTTAAATGGAGATGGAGCTTCTAAACTGTTGCCCAACGGGACTTGGCTCCCAACAGGTGACTGGGATCACGTGTCAGTGCATCACCTCGGCTACGGCTACATTGCAGAGTGTTTGCACAAAAACTCACGGAGCATCCACACTGCGAGTGGGTTTTTGTGCAAGAAAAAGTGCAGTAGATCATCAGACGACAGGGCTTTTTGCGCAGGGGTAATTCCTCTTTCTACAAGGAATAAGCCTGTTTGCTCAAGCGTTCTTGTGCAAAAAGGCGCGTGTGGACCGACAACAGGGGTTTCCAGCGCAAGAGCGTCCATGGCCGTGTGAACGTGCCCTTGCACACTGACCCCGCTTACACACAAGAACTTTTTGCGGGAGATCTCTTCTGCCAAATGTTCTTGTGCAAGAAGCCTGCAGTGTAGACTTGGCCTCTGCTGCCAACTCCCTGCTCCTCCCCGCTCAGGTGCTGCCGGCTGCACTGTTACCCGCGAAGGCCAGGCAACATTCCCGTGGTGTGCCGGTGTGACGGAGCGTCTGTGTGGTAGAGGAAGGGACAGCGAGGGCAGGTCTGGAGGTAGAAGCCAGACAAATTCCAAGCGGAGAGATGGCTGCACTGTTACCCGCGAAGGCCAGGCAACATTACCAGACATTAATGAGTTTGGCTGGAGGCCCTAACGTGGGGCAGGTTCAATATCCGGAGAGGGCCGGTGTAATTCATCAGTGTGTTACGTCGCTGCTGACACCTCCATGGTGGACATGGGCCTCACCTCCATCACCCTGCCCCATGCTCTGGTGCAGGCCCAGACCCACCATTGGACTGTCCCCTTCAACAGCTGCATGGCCCAGGTTTTCCTCTACCTGGCGGTGGGCACGATGGAGCTCTACCTGCTGGCTGCCATGGCCTACGACCGCTACGTGGCCGTCTGCGACCCGCTGCGCTACACTGCCATGGTGACGCAATCTCTGTGCCTCAAGATGGTGGTCAACCCGCTGCGCTACGCCGCCGTGGTGACCCAGCGGTCCCTGTGCCTCAAGATGGCAGCTGCTTCATTGGCCCTGGTGATCTCGCACGCCATTTTGCACACCGTCATGGCCGCCCAGCTGCGTTACTGTGGCAACCGCCTGCAGCATTTCTTCTGTAACCTGCAAATCCTGCTGCGCCTCTCCTGCACCCGGCCCATTGTCCACGAGCTGGTGGTCTTCACAGAGGGCGTCCTGGTGGTGCTGGCTCCTTGCGCCTTCATTCTGGCCTCCTATGTCCGCATCGGTGTTGCCGTGAGCCGCCTGCGCTCTGCCCAAGCCCTGCGCAAGGCCCTCTCCACCTGCGGCTCCCACCTGACCGTGGTGACACTCTTCTACGGCACCGTGATCTTGCCCTACCTCCGCCCAAACTCCAGCAATGCCCAGGAGCATGACCGGGTGGCGGCCATCTTCTACACCGCTGTGGCGCCCGCCCTGAACCCCCTCATCTACAGCCTGAGGAACAAGGACGTGGCTGCGGCCCTGACGAGGGTGAGGAGGAAGTTCCTGGCTCGGGGCAAATGAGACCAGCCCATGGCTCCATCACAGCACTGGGCCTGGACTTTCCACCCAAGATGTGTCTGGGAAACCTTCCCTCTAAGGTCCTCCAGGACACCTGTGATCCTTTCTCCTCAGACATGAGACTGGTGGAACTAACACATATGCAGGGTAGCATGGGCACCCACAACTCCACACACACACACGCAACTCAACTCTTTCTGTAGAAAAGGTCAGTGAAGGCATCTTCTCAAGAGCATGGCCATGTTCAATCAGCCGGAGGGCCAGGGTTCCTCAGACTATAGATGAGGGGGTTCAGGGTGCGTACCGCTGAGGTGTAGAAGAAGGTCACTTGACGCAGAGCATGGAACCCCTTCTGCAGGGGAATAGATGGAAGTGACCGGAAGATTTTGGCGTGGAAAAGAGACAGAAAAGGGGAGGGCCTAGGATAGGGGGTCTATAAAATCATGACTGATGTGAAAGAAGTGAATCAGGGTTTATTTATTTATGGGTGACACCAAAGGGATCACTTATTTACTTCTCACAAGACACGCACTCGGGGTCACCAAAAGAAGTGACGAGGCAGCTGTTTTAAACGGCGCATTGTTACACAGCCCACAGCCAACCTGTGGAACTTCTTGCCAGAGGATGTTATGAATGCCGGGACTACCACAGAGTAAGCTCCTGGTGTACAGGTCCTTCAATGACTACCAGCCAGGTTAGGCAGGGATGGGGTCCCTTGCCTCTGTCTGCCAGAAGCTGGAAATGGGCAATGGGGAAGGAGTTACCTGACGATTCCGTTCTGTTCGTTCCTTCTGAGGGCACTTGGCATTGGGCAGTGTCGGAATACAAGATGGTGGACTAGATGGGCCTTTGGTCTGACCCAGTCTGGACGCTCTTAGGTTCACACCCGTGACTCTGTATGCCCTTTGGTACTACGTGAGGGTATGTCTACATTACCCCCCTAGTTCGAACTAGGGGGGTAATGTAGACATACCCTCACGTAGTACCAAAGGGCATACAGAGTCACGGGTGTGAACCTAAGAGCGTCCAGACTGGGTCAGACCAAAGGCCCATCTAGTCCACCATCTTGTATTCCGACACTGCCCAATGCCAAGTGCCCTCAGAAGGAACGAACAGAACGGAATCGTCAGGTAACTCCTTCCCCATTGCCCATTTCCAGCTTCTGGCAGACAGAGGCAAGGGACCCCATCCCTGCCTAACCTGGCTGGTAGTCATTGAAGGACCTGTACACCAGGAGCTTACTCTGTGGTAGTCCCGGCATTCATAACATCCTCTGGCAAGAAGTTCCACAGGTTGGCTGTGGGCTGTGTAACAATGCGCCGTTTAAAACAGCTGCCTCGTCACTTCTTTTGGTGACCCCGAGTGCGTGTCTTGTGAGAAGTAAATAAGTGATCCCTTTGGTGTCACCCATAAATAAATAAACCCTGATTCACTTCTTTCACATCAGTCATGATTTTATAGACCCCCTATCCTAGGCCCTCCCCTTTTCTGTCTCTTTTCCACGCCAAAATCTTCCGGTCACTTCCATCTATTCCCCTGCAGAAGGGGTTCCATGCTCTGCGTCAAGTGACCTTCTTCTACACCTCAGCGGTACGCACCCTGAACCCCCTCATCTATAGTCTGAGGAACAAGGACGTGGCCGCGGCCCTGAGGAGGGCAAATAGGAAGGTCCTGGCTTGGGGCAAATGAGACCAGTCCGGGGCTCCATCTCTGCACTGGACTTGGACTTTCCACCCAAGAGGTGTCTCGGGAGCCTTCCCCCTTAGCTCGCCCAGGACTCCTGGGTTCTTTTCCCCTCAGAAGTGAAGCTGGCGAAATGAACACACCTGTAGGGCAGTGGTTCTCAAACTTTTGGGCCCATGGCTCACCCTGTTCAATGCAAACCTTTCTGTGGGCCAGTAGTTCTTAATGGAAACTCGCCGTTAATTACATAATTATGCCCGAGCCATTTTGCAAGTGCTGCAGATGGGGAGAATGGTTTCGTTTAACCAATAAGAAAGGAAATACGAATGGAAATTATTAACCAGGTTAAGCGCTTTGACTTTTCTCATCTTACTTTGGCAAAGTTCATTTTAAATAAAGTCAAATATTAATTGATGTCCACAACAGAAAGTTTCAACATCGTCTGTATTTATGGCAGGAGCGGGGCATCTTTTTGGAGTCGGGGGCCACTGATCCACAGAACATAGAACATAAGAACATAAGAACGGCCGTACTGGGTCAGACCAATGGTCCTTCTAGCCCAGTAGCCTGTCTGCCGACAGTGGCCAGCGCCAGGTGCCCCAGAGAGGATGGACCGAAGCCAATGATCAAGCGATTTGTCTCCTGCCATCCCTCTCCAGCCTCTGACAATCAGAGGCCAAGGACACCATTTTATCCCCTGGCTAATAGCCTTTTATGGACCTAACCTCCATGAAATTATCTAGCTTCTCTTTAAAATCTATTATAGTCCTAGCCTTCACAGCCTCCTCTGGCAAGGAGTTCCACAGGTTGGCTACACGCTGTGTGAAGAACTTTTGCTTATTAGAAAGATCAGTTGGGGACCACACAAGTGAGAACCACCCTCCTTCCCCCCCAAAAAACCCCCCAGCCCTCTCTGATGTGGCCCCCAACTGAGACACCTCCCTCCCTCCCTGGTGCTCCAGCCCCACAGGGAGAGGGGGAGGGGCAGGAGGACTGAGGTTCAGGGCTTCCCATAGGCCCAATTAACTCTTCTGGGGATTCAAAGTGGCAGTTAGGGCAGTTGGTCAGACCCCTCCCCACCAGTGAAAATGGGACCTTCCAAAGTGGCAGTTAGGGCTGTTGGTCAAACCCCTCCCCACCAGTGAAAATGGGACCTTCCAAAGTGGCAGTTAGGGCTGTTGGTCAAACCCCTCCCCACCAGTGAAAATGGGACCTTCCAAAGTGGCAGTTAGGGCTGTTGGTCAAACCCCTCCCCACCAGTGAAAATGGGACCTTCCAAAGTGGCAGTTGTGGCAGTTGACCAGGCTTCTTGCACTGTAAAATGGACCTTCCCAAGTGGCTGTTATGAACTT